AAAAAAAAAAAAAAAAAATAGATTAGAAACGTTTAGCGAGTAAATGATAAATCAGTGCAACATTTGTGAACAAGGAATACAGAAGGTGAATTCTTGCTTGTTGTCGTATGACATGTTGTCATCTGCTCTATAAGCGTGATGTTGATATAAAATAAACATTTCATATAAAATTCGACCTTTCCATTCTCCTTGTATATACCATCACGAAAATAATAATAATTAAAAGGGTTCGAAAAAAGTAGATCGTTTGTTGCTTTACGAACGACACGAATGATCAACTATCATTTAGAATATTTGTAGACGTCACGGTGTGTGACAAATCCGTCCATAATAAAATAGGAAAATTAATCGCGTCAATTCCCTTCGCGCGGTAACCAACATGGCTAGAATTTTTTGAAACGAGGTTCGTTGCGCGAAATATAGGACGTTCAAGAAAGAATTTTGTACTTTTCTAACAAGAGGAGGCACGAAGTGTAACGCTGACTTTTTGACGAGCTTTCGTACAACAATAGAGCTAGAAATATTAATCATTTGTCCCCAAAATCAGATACCGTTAGCTTCAATATTTCGAACTGTATCAATGTGGAAAAACTTATCAAAAAATTAGCATTATGCCTCGGGACTTCTTCTTGTAAGATCATTCGCTCGCTGGCGTAAAGAAACATGTTACTTCATATAGAAAAACCTCTTTCAAGAACCCAAGATGTGTAAAAATGTTTACACAGATATTTTTGTACCATGATCAGAATCAATTTATATTTTCGAGCGTTTAACCTGACGTGACTTGGCAGTACGACGAGGTTTCTTTGCGGAGTCACTCGGTGCTTCCTCTGTGGTGGATTTCCGTTTTTGAAGTAATGAAGGCACAGGAGCCTTTAATGGTGCCATTTCCACTGTTGGTGATGGTGGTGGTGGTGGCAGCTGTGGTGACGATGGTGGTGGTAGCTGTGGTGACGGTGGCGATGATGGCTGTTGTGTAACTGTTGGTTGCGGTACTACTTCGGTAAGACTCTGCGGATCTGCTATGGGAATGAAATCTAATCCTTCATCAAGTGTTTCCGGTAATACACCTTGATTCGTTAAAGCTTGTAGATCTTCCGTTGGTACTAGCACAGATTGTCCGCAGACTACACACACCGGTATCGCCGGAGATTTTGATCGCCAATACTGAAGTTCCGTTTTGCACTTGTTCAATTCCTGCATAATACAATCGCAATTTTACAAATTATAAGAAAGTATAAATTACTAGAAATTTGATTTTGAACTTTAGATATGTTCAATTAATATTTCTAGCCAAATTGGCATGTATTTTTTTCTGTCATACAGTACTAAGAGTACCTTAGTAAATACCTGTAGGAGTGTGCTGAATTTACGAGAGGTCTCTTCGTTCTTTTTATCGTTTTCATCAAGACGCGTAGCATATTCAACGATCTGTTTTTGTTGCTCTGCTATTTTTGCTTTGCAGCTTCTCAAATCTCTACGCATTAATGTTAACTGACTATTATATCGCTTCATGCCTTGCTTAATTTTACGGATCCTTTTCCGTAACACCATATTCGATTGTGGAGGTGAAACATTGGATTCTAATAGACCAGGATCATCTGAAGAATGTGGAGGGGACCCTTCTTCTCCGCTATTGTTTCCTGATTTACCAGTTCCAACAGTTAAGGGTGTAGAGTCCAGGCACATGAATGGCTTGTTCACATTACTAGAAGCTGTAACGTTTAAATAAATCATATGCAAAACTGAACAATTAAATTACTATACCAAAAAATATATTAATTTCGTACATATATATAGACAAATATATTCAATTACAAAAATTGAATTCTTTACTCACAGGAGAATGTCCCAGCAAGATCCAGGAAATCAGCTCCGAAATAAGGAATTTCTGGTAATGTTGGTTCAATATGTTCTTTAAAGTACTCCATAGCCATAGTACTTAAATCAAATAATTCATCTGTAACTTTGTATGGTCTGGCTAATTTTGGAGTAACTTTTATATAATGCAAAATACGATAAACTTCATCTAAAATCTGAAATAATTAGAAATTGGTATTCATACAGATATGTATGTTGCATACTTCTAACCTTGTTAACATGCAAGAAAAACTTCATTTACCTCTCCAGGGAAAAAACAACAATGTTTACGCTCAATGTGCTTGCCAAAACTCATTTGGAGCAAGGTAAGACGCATATGAAGAGTTTCAATGATGTCTGATTCACAAGCTAATGGATGATTACGACGTGCGGATTCACGCCTTGGCATCTGTGCTTTAATTGCCTGAAAACGGCTCAACATTTGTGCTTGCAGCTTTTGAAATGTAGAATTCAAAATTGATCCACAAACACGATCCATCTGATGACAAACCTAAAAAAAAAAAAGAATGCAACATAAATATATCTTTTTTTTTACAAACATCAAGTAAATAATGTTGACTTACTGGACGTAAGTGAGCCACTGTATTATAATCCAAATAGCTGAAAATCTTTTCAAGAATTTCAACTGGTAAATCAAGAAGGTTCAAATTGCTGTCAGGAGGTGGCTCAGAAACAGATGCACCGCTGCATGAGCTGGTCATTGTTACAGATCTTCTTGATGAATTCACATCTGTAATTTCAGCAGCAGGCCCACCTCCATTACTTCCACTCATACTACTTGATTGACGAGTTGACACCATAATTTTGTTACTTTTAGATGATCAACTCTACCAAAATCTAAAATCAAAATTCACTGTAAATAAAAAACTAATTCGTTGAAAATAAAAAAATTATTTTCATATAAAAATAATTGTCAAGATAGAAATTACAAAAAAGAAAAATAGGAAAATATCCATTTACACTCAATGATATTAGAAAATAATTCATTTATAATATAGGACAACATTAATAAAATTAAATCTGCATCTACGAAATCACAATTTGACTTTGAAACGAATGACAATTATACAATTATACAAATATTCATAAATTCTTTAAATGTTTTCAAACTACACTGCATACAATTGCATTATTTGAATAAAAAAAAATCAGAACTTTTATTCTGATATTCATTTATCTTTACACATTATTGCACGTTATTTGTACAATTTCTCAAGCTTGCTAAAAATTATCGATTCGAATAATATCAAGTCAACCAGAAATGAGAAAGAACGTTATTTTCAATAATGCTAAATATAACAAAAAATTTCCCGCTAGTGCAGCTTTATGCTTTCGCAGGAAAAAAAAAATAAAAAGAAAGAAAAAAACATTCTGAAAAATGAATTACCAAGAAAGGTCCGCGTTAAGAAAGAAACGTACGTAAGATCACGATACGACGGAATATTAACGGAATAACGAGAAAAAAAACAAATTCGTAATGTAACCTAGGATCTTGAAGATTCGAGTGTGCCTCGATTATTCTCATCGGTTCTCAAACAGCGAAAAAACAACGAATGTTCGCCGAGCGTAGCAAGCGAAAGAAATCCGGGAAAATAGCTGAAGCAAAACGGAAGCTGAAATTTCCGACACTGGACTGAAAGCTCCTCCGAGGCCGAGTCAAATTGACGAATTGGGAAGAAAATGCCTGAATGGTACGTGATTAGCGATCAGTTTAACAACGGACGAATACCTGGTGCATCGGAACTGCGAGTAAGAACTTGTCGAACGTCTTGCTCGAATTATGTGTGTACGGTAACCAAAAAAGTGAAAAAAATACAAGGGATACGGAGTGGACGGGGATAAACAGATATCTTTGCCCACTACTGTAACGAGATGGCCGTTGCGTGTTATGCACACACAGTATACGACAGAGTTATACAAAGCCCGATGGAAACAAACAGAGGGAAACCGAGTGACCGTGCGCAATCGATGCACCTATGACTTTTCTGCCTTTTGGTAAGATAGTCGTGGAAATTGTTGTGCATCTTGAGAGGTAAACTAATAAGAAGGATCATCGTGAAAATACACATAAAGAAAGAAAGAAAGAAAGAAAAAGGACGGAACGAAGCGGAGGAAGATCACATACCCCCTGTGTTAAACGACGAAAAGCAATCACTGTATCCGCGTTGGTGTTTTCAACGACATTTTGACGGAGATCCCTTCCTTCTCCTCACGACCACTGCTTTAACGTTCTCGTTCTCACTTCGTTTCACTATCGAAGCTCTCTCGTTTCGTCTCAAGCACTCCTATCGCTCTTGTTCGTGCCTGATCCTCTATACGTCTCTCTCTCTCTTTCCGTCTCACGTTCGTGTAACTATGGCGCACTCACACGCGTAAATCACGAAATCCGTACCCGGAAAAAAAGCCCGCGCGTACAGCAAAGAAGAAATGCTTCTTTTTCGTTGCTTGTCCCAAGACCT